ATTTTTTTTTACCTTTTTTTGTTTTAATATATAATGAGAAAAAGTTAGCCCCAAAGAATATCAGAAAATAATAATATTGTATGGCTGCTGTTTACCCAATAATTTCAAGAGTTATTGCCATTCTAAAACTTTAATAAAATTGTGACCTATGACGTCATGTCTGTCATATTGATTATTTGACGAGGCGAGGTAACAGAGTACGTATCGTACTCAAGTTTGGTTAAGTATTGTTAAACGTCCTATCAACAGCTATGGTCATTTAAGGACGGCCTCCTCTGTGTGCAATATACATGCGTGTACTGTATGCATGTGTGTTTTGGGAGGTTGCGATATGTTCGTGTTTGTCTCCTTGTGATAGCGCGGAACTGATGCCGACTTTATAGTGCTACCTCAATGAAACATACTGCCGGAGACACCCAGCAGGACATCCTACCAGGTCACATTATACTGACAACGGGCGAACCAGTCGTCCCACTCCTAAATTGTTGAGCGTTAAGCAGGAGTAGAAACTACCATTTTTAAGGACTCTGGTATGTCTCGGTCATGGGACAGAATCCAAAGCCTTCTTCACAGGGACGAACGCTCAACTTAAGGCCAAAAAAGAGCATTGTAATTAAATATTCCAAGCCATTGAACAGTGTCAAGTTTACATTATGTAAGATAACAAGGCTATAGGAGTAATCGTAATCTCTCTTTGGATGTTGTGTCTTACTAGAAGTCATTAATAGAATGGCGTGCCATTAAAACGTTCAGGTGTTCTTTTTCGATCATTTCGTTGAGAAAACAATGCATAGAAGACAGATAATCTTTTAACTTACATACATCAAGTAGGTTATCATTGTTTAACACAAGAAGATCTTTGATTTGAAAGATGCACAATCTTTGAAGGATAAATTGTTTTTAAAGCCGGCCTATTTTCAAAGCATGTTTACTTTCGAGTTATATTTGATTCCATGCTTGTTTTTAAAAGAGTTTAGGGTATTTGAATACAGTACGGTGTTAGTGATCAGCTACATACTTAAGTGGCTAGTGGTCATAAAATATGTACATGTAACAAGTCAAAAATAAAAATTAGAGAAGTTGCATTCCTAAAAGTTAAATTGTTCTGCATAAAAAACAATATTAAGTTATTAAACTGAAGAGCAAAAGCGCTTATCTATATCTTTACAAAAATGACGGTAACAGCAGAAGAAGCGAGCCAAAATTTGACAAGAAATATCGTCATTATAATTAAGACCATGCACTGTATAAAATAATGTTGGGAGTTACACCATTTTAGTATAAACTTTCACTGGAAAAAATAGTGTAATGTTACACTTCAATGCAAAGTGTAAAATTACACCTGCTGATTTTAATGTAATCTTACACCATTACATGAGGTGTAACATTACACCGTCATTTATGATTGCGCTGAAATTTCTGACACTATAAACACAAAAGGAGCGTGAGTCATGATAAGATTTGACCTATATTTTCATTTCGCAGAATCGGAACACGTCTGGGTTTCTGAAAAGTGTAGTGAAATATAACATCATTTGTGGCGACACGGGGTGAACGGGAAGGTTACGTATTTGTGTGAAGATTTATTTATGTAGCTATTTGTACTTGGCCGGCACGATATCATACAAACGATATTTGTTAAAGCGGTACTGTGTGTTAAGATTTAAAGTTCATGTTTGCGATATTGTGTGTTTTGATTTAATATTCATGTATTTGTATACTGCAAAACAGGATTTTTGTCCAACATGTTTTCCCAGGTTCCTCCAATTCCGCCGCAATTTATATATTTCTCATACAACCATACCTGGAATTCAAACCTGTTATTGTCTTACAGTGAGTCAAATTCATCAAGTGAGAAAAAAAAGTTGAAATATGTGAATAATTAAGTAAAACAATGGTCTATGTTTCGGTCAATTGAACTCCTACGGTCAAGCCTCTATAGTAATGAACACATCTGTAAAATTTGAAGGTGAAGGTATTTGTATGCGTCATTTAACTTTCTGCTGTTTAATTTTCGGTAAGATTTTCATTTGAATGTGCATTTAAATATAGGATCATACCTGAGTTTCCATGTCATATGAGACTTATAAAATTCGTGACGAGTTTCATAAATCTCATATGACATGGAAACAAGTGTAAGATCATTTATATCATATAACTGAAATACTATTCATTCATTCGATAAAAGAAACAACCGCATCGTCCGTCATTTCATCAGCTGTTTTTTGCACTACTATCAAAATGTAGGTCAGAAATATCAGAGCTGTAACAAATAATTTTTAAATATTCATATTGACACAGAAATATGAAGTATCAACAGCTTCACTGAGACTGACTATCACTGTCCGATTCGATAACCCTACGTCGTTTCACTGGTTTGGGAATTGATGTCAGAGATTGTTGATAAATGTTAATGCTGAAATATCCACGGTAAATGTTTCCTCCAAACACAGAAGGCACATTTCCATAGAACCATCTTGAAATTTTGAGTCCGCCATGTTCAGTACGAGACGTAGTGCGGAGTAATTTACTATCGTCGGAACGTGTGATGCTTTCAACCTATCAAAATCGCTCCAGGTGATATAATATGAGTTAATATGCAAAATATGAAATGGGTGCATCCACTGTAAAATATGGGAGTTATATGATAAAGTATTTTATGCACTCTCCTGATCTATGTGACACAGTTAGAAATGATTGATGGCATCTACTGAAGACCAGTGAGTAATTCTAATTTAAGGGGCTTTATATAATTCTCACAAATGGTGCGTTTTTAGGATAGGGGTTGTCACTGCTCCGGTTCATTGTATCGCGATATATAGCCGGTTGGAATGCCCGGTCTAAGTCAGACGAATACACGTCTCGCACACGAGCATACGTCTGTCACACGTACAAGAAGCACATTTTACGAAACAACAAAATTACATAAACACACTAAGAAGGACAGTTAATTTACAAGGGCAGACGCTTAACAATGACATTGCTGGTAAATTCCCTATAACATAAAAGATTATGTTACATGTATATTACATATTGTCTGGTTTTCCTTAAGTCTTACTGGCTGATCCTTGACTTCGGGTTCGTCGATACAACATATCTTTCTCCTATTTCTACCTTTGTCTTGCACGTGACCATATCCACCTCATTTCTCTTACACATGTATGTATATGACGTGTCGTTTTTTCGCCCGTGAAAAGACACAAAGCGACAAAACGAATTAACGAAAAGACGAAAAAAAAAAATATTTCGAATTGGCGGGGTTTTGTCTATTCGTTATATAGCCTTGACGTTATTTCTTTATATCGCTTTGGCGGTTTTTGTCTTTTTTTCTTTACTCTATTGTGTTTTGTCGCTTGGCGTCTTTTCGCGGGCGACAACGCGAAAAGACGAAATGTCATACATTGTATATACGCCACCATAGTCACATACGCTTAAAACACTTTCATCGCTTCTCGTGATGATTAAAAACTCACCCATCTAATGCACAAAACTGTCAAATACTTACAGACTGCTACTTAGTATATTTAAGTACACATTTTCATTTTTCCTTTAAGATTTTGTTTGATCAATCTTGGAACGTTGACCCTGTAATATTTTCCGAAAGGTTTTTGGTTAGCTAACCATGCTTTTTAAATGTAATAACCATTAAGTAATAAAGGGGTGGGGGATACTGTATGTTTTGGAGGATATTCGAGTGTGTTTACAGAAGCTAGAAAATTGAACACATGTTCAGCTGTATTTGTAACATGTAAGAGTCACGTTAAAGATATTTTACGCTCAGTTAAACACAAAAGGACCCGCTGTGTCGAGTGACGTATGATAAAAGAGCAGGTGAATGAATTTTGTTTCGCAGAATTCTAAAAATAGTGTGAATAGATAACGGCAACTCAAACGAAAAACTGCTTTAGTTTTGGAGAGGTATGTACGCATTCCTCAATGCCTCTTATTGTGTGTTTAGATTGAAATTCATGTTAAGTGTACTACACTAACAGAATAATTTCCATACAACCACACCTGAAATAAATTTTGGTGTATAAACGTTAAAAACAAGGTCTATTGATTTAGTTAAAAACGTTAAAAACGTTAAAAACAAGGTCTATTGATTTAGTGAAATAAATTTTGGTGTATAAACGTTAAAAACAAGGTCTATTGATTTAGTTTCGCAGAATTTTAAAAATAGTGTCCATAATGGCAACTCAAACGGAATGTTTACCTCAATTCGGAGGAGGTACGTATGTCTCATGTGGGCGGACGTTGACAATATAAGTGATTAATACATATGTGATAATCAGTCGGGTACGTAGTTCTTCAGTGTTGATAGTTTAAAGTATCGGTGTGTGTCAGCGAAGGAGTTAGTCTCTGACACTTATGTACACATGTACCTACACATTTATATATGAACATATTGTTATATTTACATATAAACACATGCATTGAGCTCATATCTACTGACAAGCACATCAGGCATACCCGTATCTTATCTGACGCATACATCCTGATCGGGTATGTCGTTGAGATCAAATAGTACTGACACAATAGTAATGACACTATAAACATAAAAGCAGCGTGGGCAATGATATGATTTGACCTATATTTTTAATTCGCAGAATCGGTACACGTCTTGGATTTCTGAAAAGTGTAGAGAGGTATATCATCATTTGTGGCGACACGGCGTGAACAGGAAGGGTACGTATTTGTTTGAAGATTCATTTATGTAATTATTTGTACTTGGCCAGCACGATATTATACAAACGATACTTGTTAAAGCGATATTATGTGTTTAGATTTATAGTTCATGTTTGCGATATTGTGTGTTCAGATTTAATATTCATGTTTTAGTATACTACAAAACAGGATTTTGTGTCCTACATCTTTTCCCATGTTCCTCCAAAGCAGCTGTGAGATGGTAACTCTTTAACTACCAAACATGCAGCAAAGCTCTGTTTACAAAATCATAACACAAAGTAATTATTCGTTTTCTTCTTTTGATTATTTTTTTAAATGATTTCTCTTTCCTAATTTTTTTTCCTTTGACTTTTATATTCGAAATGAAATACCTTTCTGTAAAGGTGCGGCCAATTAAAACCGCCATAAGGCATCACAAACCAGTGATGACGCCGCCATATATATATATATTCCTCATACAACCATACCTGGAATTCAAACCTGTTATTGTCTTACAGTGAGTCAAATTCATCAAGTGAGAAAGAGATGAGTTGAAATATCTGAATGATTAAGTAAAACAATGGTTTATGTTTCGGTCAATAGAACTCCTACGGTCAAGCCTCTATAGTAATGAACACATCTGTAAAATTTGAAGGTGAAGGTATTTGTATGCGTCATTTAACTTTCTGCTGTTTAATTTGCGGTAAGATTAACATTTGAATGTGCATAGAAATATAGGATCATACATGAGTTTCCATGTCATATGAGACTTATAAAATTCGTGACGAGTTTCATAAATATCTAATGACATGGAAACAAAAGTAAGATCATTTATATCATATAACTGAAATACTGTTCTTTCATTCGTTAAAAGAAACAACTGCATCTTCCGTCATTTCATCAGCTGTTCTTTTGCATTAATATCAAACTGTAGGTCAGAAATATCAGAGCAGTAACAAATAACCTTTGAAAGAAAACACTCAAACAACATGGATTAATATTCATATTTACACAGACATTTGAGGTATCATAAGCTTCACTGAGACTGACTATCACTGTCCGATTCGATAATCTTACGTTGTTTCACTGGTTTGGGAAGTGATGTCGGAGATTGTTGATAAATGTTAATGCTGAAACATCCACGGTAAATGTTTCCTCCAAACACAGAATGCACATTTCCATGGAACCATCTTGAAATATTGCGTCCGCCATGTTCAGTACGAGACGCAGTGCGGAGTAATTTACTATCGTCGGAACGTGTGATGCTTTCAACCTATCAAAATCGCTCCAGGTCATATAATATGAGTTAATATGCAAAATATGAAATGGGTGCATCCACTGTATAATAGGGGAGTTATATGATAAAGTATTTTATGCACTCTCCTGAACTATATGACACAGTTAGTAATGATTGGTGGCATCTCCTGAAGACCAGTGAGTAATTCTAATTAAAGGGGCTTTATATAATGCTCACAAATGGTGCGTTTTTAGGATAGGGGTTGTCAATGACATTGCTGGTAAATTCCCGATAACACAAAATATTATGTTACATGTATATTACATATTGTCTGGTTTTCCTTAAGTCTTACTGGCTGATCCTTGACTTCGGGTTCGTCGATACAACATATCTTTCTCCTATTTCTACCTTTGTCTTGCACGTGACCATATCCACCTCATTTCTCTTACACATGTATGTATATGACGTGTCGTTTTTTCGCCCGTGAAAAGACACAAAGCGACAAAACGAATTAACGAAAAGATGAAAAAAATAATTTATTTCGAATAGGCGGGGTTTTGTCTATTCGTTATTTAGCCTTGACGTTATTTCTTTATATCGCTTTGACGGGTTTTTTTTCTTTTTTTCTTTACTCTATTGTGTTTTGTCGCTTGGCGTCTTTTAGCGGGCGACAACGCGAAAAGACGAAATGTCATACATTGTATATACGCCACCATAGTCACATACGCTGAAAACACTTTCATCGCTTCTCGTGATGATTAAAAAATCACCCATCTAATGCACAAAACTGTCAAATCCTTACTGACTGCTACTTAGTATATTTAAGTACACATTTTCATTTTTCCTTTAGGATTTTGTTTGATAAATCTTGGAACGTTGACCCTGTTATATTTTTCGAAAGCTTTTTGGTAAGCTAACCATGCTTTTTAAATGTAATAACCATTAAGTAATAAAGGCTTTGGGGATACTGTATGTTTTGGAGGATATTCGAGTGTGTTTACAGAAGCTAGAAAATTGAACACATGTTCAGTTGTATTTGTAACATGTAAGAGTCACGTTAAAGATATTTTACGCTCAGTTAAACACAAAAGGACCCGCTGTGTCGATTGACGTATGATAAAAGACCAGGTATATGAATTTTGTTTCGCAGAATTCTAAAAATAGTGTCCATAATGGCAACTCAAACGGAATGTTTACCTCAATTCGGGGGAGGTACGTATGTCTCATGTGGGCGGACGTTGACAATATAAGTGATTAATACATATGTGATAATCAGTCGGGTACGTAGTTCTTCAGTGTTGATAGTTTAAAGTATCGGTGTGTGTCGGCGAAGGAGTTAGTCTCTGACACTTATGTACACATGTACCTACACATTTATATATGCACATATTGTTATATTTACATATAAACACATGCATTGAGTTCATATCTACTGACAAGCACATAAGGCATACCCGTATCTTATCTGACGCATACATACCGATCGGGTATGTCGTTGAGATCAAATAGTACTGACACAATAGTAATGACACTATAAACACAAAAGCAGCGTGGGCAATGATATGATTTGACCTATATTTTTAATTCGCAGAATCGGTACACGTCTTGGATTTCTGAAAAGTGTAGAGAGGTATATCATCATTTGTGCCGACACGACGTGAACAGGAAGGGTACGTATTTGTTTGAAGATTCATTTATGTAATTAATTGTACTTGGCCAGCACGATATCATACAAACGATACTTGTTAAAGCGATATTATGTGTTTAAATTTATAGTTCATGTTTGCGATATTATGTGTTCAGATTTAATATTCATGTTTTAGTATACTACAAAACAGGATTTTGTGTCCTACATCTTTTCCCATGTTCCTCCAAAGCAGCTGTGAGATGGTAACTCTTTAACTACCAAACATGGAGCAAAGCTCTGTTTACAAAATCATAACACAAAGTAATTATTCGTTTTCTTCTTTTGATTATTTTTTTAAATGATAATTTTTTTTTCTTTTGACTTTTATATTCGAAATGAATACCTTTCTGTAAAGGTGCGGCCAATTAAAACCGCCATAAGGCATCACAAGCCAGTGATGACGCCACCATATATATATATTCCTCATACAACCATACCTGGAATTCAAACCTGTTATTGTCTTACAGTGAGTCAAATTCATCAAGTGAGAAAGAGATGAGTTGAAATATTTGAATGATTAAATAAAACAATGGTTTATGTTTCGGTCAATTGAACTCCTACGGTCAAACCTCTATAGTAATGAACATATCTGTAAAATTTGAAGGTGAAGGTATGTGTATGCGTTATTTAACTTTCTGCTGTTTAATTTGCGGTAAGATTAACATTTGAATGTGCATAGAAATATAGGATCATACATGAGTTTCCATGTCATATGAGACTTTTAAAATTCGTGACGAGTTTCATAAATATCTAATGACATAGAAACAAGTGTAAGATTATTTATATCATATAACTAAAATACTGTTCTTTCATTCGTTAAAAGAAACAACCGCATCGTCCGTCATTTCATCAGCTGTTCTTTTGCACTTCTATCAAAATGTAGGTCAGAAATATCAGAGCTGTAACAAATAACTTTTGAAATATTCATATTTACACAGAAATTTGAAGTATCAACAGCTTCATTGAGACTGACTATCACTGTCCGATTCGATAATCCTACGTCGTTTTACTGGTTTGAGAAGTGATGTCAGAGGTTGTTGATAAATGTTAATGCTGAAATATCCACGGTAAATGTTTCCTCCAAACACAGAATGCACATTTCCATGGAACCATCTTGAAATATTGCGTCCGCCATGTTCAGTACGAGACGCAGTGCGGAGTAATTTACTATCGTCGGAACGTGTGATGCTTTCAACCTATCAAAATCGCTCCAGGTCATATAATATGAGTAAATATGCAAAATATGAAATGGTTGCATCCACTGTATAATAGGGGAGTTATATGATAAAGTATTGTATGCACTCTCCTGAACTATGTGACACAGTTAGTAATGATTGGTGGCATCTACTGAAGACTAGTGAGTAATTCTTATTTAAGGGGCTTTATATAATTCTCACAAATGGTGCTATTTTAGGATAGGGGTTGTCACTGCTCCGGTTCATTGAATCGCGATATATAGCCGGTTGGAATGTCCGGTTTAAGTCACACGAATACACGTTTTGCACACGAGCATACGTCTGTCACACGTACAAGAAGCACATTTTACGAAACAACAAAACTACAAAAACACACTAAGAAAGACAGATATATTTACAAGGGCCCACGCTTAACAATGACATTGCTGGTAAATTCCCGACAACATAAAATATTATGTTACATGTATATTACATATTGTCTGCTTTTCCTTAAGTCTAACTGGCTGATCCTTGACTTTAGGTTCGTCAATACAACATATCTATCTCTTATTTCTACCTTTGTCTTGCACGTGACCATGTCTTTTTTCGCCCGTGAAAAGACACAAAGCGACAAAACGAATTAACGAAAAGATGAAATTGTGTATTGTGTTTTGTCGCTTGGCGTCTTTTCGCGGGCGACAACGCGAAAAGACGAAATGTCATACATTATATATACGCCACCATAGTCACATACGCTGAAAACACTTTCATCGCTTCTCGTGATGATTAAAAAATCACCCATCTAATGCACAAAACTGTCAAATCCTTACTGACTGCTACTTAGTATATTTAAGTACACATTTTCATTTTTCCTTTAGGATTTTGTTTGATAAATCTTGGAACGTTGACCCTGTTATATTTTTCGAAAGTTTTTTGGTAAGCTAACCATGCTTTTTAAATGTAATAACCATTAAGTAATAAAGGGCTGGGGGATACTGTATGTTTTGGAGGATATTCGAGTGTGTTTACAGAAGCTAGAAAATTGAACACATGTTCAGTTGTATTTGTAACATGTAAGAGTCACGTTAAAGATATTTTACGCTCAGTTAAACACAAAAGGACCCGCTGTGTCGAGTGACGTATGATAAAAGAGCAGGTAAATGAATTTTGTTTCGCAGAATTCTAAAAATAGTGTGAATAGATAACGGCAACTCAAACGAAAAACTGCTTTAGTTTTGGAGAGGTATGTACGCATTCCTCAATGCCTCTTATTGTGTGTTTAGATTGAAATTCATGTTAAGTGTACTACACTAACAGAATAATTACCATACCACCACACCGGAAATAAATGTTGACGTATAAACGTTAAAAACCAGGTCTATTGTTTTAGTTTCGCAGAATTCTAAAAATAGTGTCCATAATGGCAACTCAAACGGAATGTTTCAATTTGGGGGAGGTACGTATGTCTCATGTGGGCGGACGTTGACAATACAAGTGGTTAATATAAATGTGATAATCATTAGGGTACGTAGTTCTTCAGTGTTTATAGTTTAAAGTAACGGTGTGTGTCGGCGAAGGAGTTTAATTTTGGTTATTCATTCGTCACCACTTACAATTTATTCTTACGTGTAAAAATATCCGTACAAGTCTCTGACACATATTTGCACATGTATCTACACATGTAGATGTAAACATATTGTTATATTTACATATAAACACATGCATTGAGTTCATATCTACTGACAAGTACATCAGGCATACTCGTTTCTCAACTGACGCATACATCCTGAACGGGTGTGTCGTTGAGATCAAATAGTATTGACACAATACACACTATAATGCCACTATAAACCCAAAAGCAGCGTGGGCCATGATATGATTTGACCTATATTTTTAATTCGCGGAATCGGTACACGTCTTGGTTTTCTAAAAAGTGTAGAGAGGTATATCATCATTTGTGGCGTCACGGGGTGAACAGGAAGGGTACGTATACAAAAGATACTTGCTCATGCAATATTGTGTGGCAAGATTTAACGTGCACACAAACGTGACAGTTACAGAGTCAGTGACACACGGACAACAAAGTGAACGTACGCAAATAGATTAAATGAATCAACAGGTAACATTTTATTCAATATTGCTCAATGGCGTAAAATCATTTGTTGGAGTGTTTGCTTACAGGGGGCCGAGCGCCTGAGGCGTGTAACGCCGGAGTAGGGGGAGGGTAGGGGAGGAGGAGTTTTCCCTCCAATAGCGGGGGCGGGGGGATAAAAAATACCACTATGAAATAATAAAAAATAAAAGATTAAAAAATAATTAGATGTTTATGTGTAATTTTCCTAGACGAGTGGGTTTTTTTCTGTTTGGACGAGTACTTTTTGCCATATACTGGTCCATCGGACAGTGGTTTAAAATAGTTTTTCCAAAGCCCTGAAAAGATGAGTAGAAATGTTTGCAAAATTAATTAAGACTATGGTTTATGTTTCGGTTAATTGAACTCGTACGGTAATTCCTGCATAGCTATGTACACATCTGTGAAATTGGATTTCAAGTTATTTTCTACTGTATATTTGTGGTTAGATGTTTATTTGAATGTGCATAAAAAGTATCTTGTGTACTCTCCTGAACTATGTTACACAGTTAGTAATGATTGATGGCATCTACTGAGGACTTGTGAGTAAGACTGATTTAAGTGGGCTCATATAATTTGTACCAACGGTGTGTTTTGAGGATAGGGGTTGTCACTGTTCCGGTTCATTGTACTGCGATTGCCGGTGTGTACAATCGGCCACTCGAACACACATCTCTCACACGGACAAAGACGCATATTGTACGTAACAAAACACGACCTCGAGCACACTAACACTGATATAAATGCTATACAATTAACTTGCAGGTAAGTTCTCGACTATACATGATATTATGTTACATGTCTATTGCATAATGGCTGACTGGCTGAACCTTGAATTCAGGTTCGTCCATATACAACATTTCTATTTTCGTCCTGTACGTGACCTGTTTTATGCGTTAATATTTTGGTAGTTGCACTTTACTCATAAATAGATACACAATTAAATGGTTGAACACGAATTACATTTTATTATTATTTTCACTCATGTTTCGTTATTCTGCAACACTCATTACATACATTAGGTATTCAACTGGCTTCCGCGATACTGCAGGGATTACGCTTAACATATCATGAAACAAATCCAAGGCACATCTACAGTATGCGTCACCTTGTCGATGAGACATCTATTAATCTTTTAGACTGCCCATGTCATTCACTTATTCGCAGGAATCCATGATACCTTTTGTTTTGATTTCGTATATTTCATAAATTTTATTGATTCCTTTATCGCGCCCCCAGAAAAATGTTACGTCAATTTCTCAGGAATCACATACAGCTTTATTTTTAATGTACAGATGATCAGCCGTATTGAATTAGGAAAAAAGATTCTTGAGGAATTGCCGAAATCACCTGATGAATGGATAACAGTTCAATCATTGGAAGATGTCAAACTTGGAAATTTTGCATGGAAAAGTCAACGAGATTTTTTTATGCGCATTTTCCCACCATTTGCGAAATATCATTATGAGACAGCAACTGAAAAGGTGAGCTACTGTATGAAAGGAGATTTCTTACTCGGATATATATCACCTAGTATTCAGTTCATAAATTACCCTCAGCTTCACCCTTTTGTCATTTAATCTTCTGTACATTGTGTATGTGTAGCAAAAAACTTCTCGGATAAATAATAATATTACCTACAAACATCCTGTATTATACGTATGTGGACGGCTAAGCTTGTATTTGAGCATGACGTATAGATTCCAAATTTTATTCCTGTATTTTTTTTTTGTCATTTTCCGTTTGTTTCGACAGTTTAATTAGACATTTAAATGGGTTGTTTTTCTCCCTAAACTTTGTTTCAAAATATTTCAAAAACAATTGTCTCTTTTCAGTTGGAAGAATATCTTCAAAGACGAAATGATGATGTTAAGTTCGAATTGAAAGAAAAACGTTCTAGCATGTCATTATCTGCGACAGCCTACGCTAGCAAACTAGCAGGGACTCTTGATTTAATGAAGGGGAGGTTAAGAGGGGGCTATCAAAACAGTTATCAGGAAACGATACCAGCTACAGATTTTATCATCACCAGAATCAAGAGAAGAGACCTAGAACAAAGTCTAAACTTATGGTAATAAGTATTTGTAGGATTAACTGAAAAATTTAGATTGTTGCTCCCTCGTGATTTACAATCCTGTTAACGTATTATTATCCGCCATCAAATTGTTTAGTCACCTTAATACTATATCAAACATCTTCAACCTTTTGGTTTATTATTTAGAAACTAAATTTAGTGGTAATGTTCCGAATGATTGAGGCATCTCTACCAACCCACTCGTTTGGCCTATCTTTCAGATAAGGGTTTGTTCTCATGAATTGTCATAAAAGTCAGTATAATTTCTTGACATTACATTTCTAATTATTAACTTGATGTCCTGAAGAAAATTAGTTATTTGGAGAATTTTGCGCGGAATTGTTAAATAATCCCAAATGACTACATATTTAAAGGTCTTAAAATCTTTTCACAAATACTCTTTGTTATAAATGTACGATTTGTTTTTGTTCATAAGGAAACTTGACATGACTTCATCTTATATCAATGTAAAGAAAAGAAAGAATGATATCCCCTGCATCATAAGCGCAATCGTTGAAGCCGCCACTCCTGAGGATCAACCTGACACAATGGCTTCTGTAGAAAAAAAGCGACGGATTGAAGGAAACGTACAGTTGGATTCACCTTCAGGGATCTCGGATGTATTTGTATGATTAATAGGATGCTAAAAGTGTTTTCTCTTGTAGTCATTAATTGACCTTTTCCTGATGTCATTATTCTAACGTATATCGGATAACTTTAACAATTAGCCCTCCATTAATTGTTAAATTATAATAATATGTTGTAGGCGGGAACAACAACGCAGTTAAAGTTCTCTTTGGTTTCGGTTTTGTATCTTAATCAGGGCCCCACATCAAGATTTAGGTTTCCTATAGTAATACTCTTATCCGTCCGTTCTTCCGTCTGTCCATTTTTGATTTCCGTACAGTTACTTACGTATTTGCAGTTAGATGTTCAAGTTTTGGGCTTGGTCCCATATAACCAGTAACATCCGGCAATATTTGCAAGAATATTGGGACTTTGAATGGCAAAACATTGCGTTTTATGACTTTCCGCACAATCACTTTCGTATTTGTGTTCGGAAGTTCACCAATTTGGCGTGTGGCTTCATATCAAAGAAACTTTCTGAAATTTGACATGGTGATACACTGTGAAATGTAGCTGTTTGATAGTGGTTTGAATTTTTTAAGGTCAATATCACTGTTTCTTAAATATATACTGTAGGTAGCTCAGTCCTAATCTCCAAATTAAAAAGTCTATTTGTTTTTAATTTGACATCGCGATATACTGTAGATTGTATAATATTGGGTTAAAAAGTTTTTAAGGTCAATGTTGCTGTTACTTAAAATAGACGGCCGGAGTTGGTCAGTAACATGGCAGGCCTCTTGCTGAACTGTCAATATTCTAGTTAAGCTCTAGTAATCTTATTACGTGGTGATGGGAGTACCTTTTTTCCTTTTTTCCGATATAAGGAAACCTGACCCGGGTCAAGAAAAAAAATGGTGATGATGATGATGATGATGATGATGATGATGATGATGATTGTCAATGTGTATGTACGATGATGATGATGATGATGATGATGATGATGATGTGTATAAATGACTATGATTGAGAAACGCATGCAAGTGAGAGTTTGTGTGTAATGTCTGTTTGATGTAGATGTAACAAAAAACTTGAAAAAATAAAACAATATAAAAAAAAATGGAATGGAAAAGGAGGGAAAGCCATATAATACGTTCACAATAAACTAGATATTCGCTCATAATAGATGTAAATCAAGTGGCAAACGGCCACGTAGTTCTCTGAGCATAATACTGGAGCGCTTGGAACTGCTGAATCCAGTTGTCGGGTTCCAAATCGGTCTAGGTCATTTCTGATATTTGATCAGTTCTTTAATCCAGGGGCTAGCCTTTTCTTTAATATATTGATATGAATGACATTTTCATTCCCCTACTGTATAACATGAAATGTTCGTTGTGTATAAACATTCGTGATTTCGTGGTTGCTATTGAACAACTAAAGTAAATACAACGAATTTGAATGATATACATGTCTACTATTTATAAATAAAGGATATCCACGAGAGTTTGTACCACGAAACGTTCTTAATGGCTTCAAACCACAAAGGAAAGTACCCACGAACATATCATGATTTGACTGGCTTACCAATGTAGAGCTTTCTTGCACACCGAAATTACGGTTTTTATTATTGTCAAGGGTGGCAGATTTGGAAGTGAAGTTAACACAGCTACAATTTCTGGGTAGGAAGTTGATTGGTATTGAAAACATTGATAACATGATTCACTGTCACTTTATAACGTATGAATTTTCCTTTGCAAGAACAGCTAGCAAATTGCTGTTAGGGACCCTTGCATGTTTCTTACGCAGCATGTCTGGTTTTTTTACTGTCACTATATTAATAAAATTACTTGCACGACACAAGCAGCAATATTTTTTCTTAAACGCCTTGTGCGATAGGGGTTGTTTACACAGCAATTGCAATCACGATACTCCGACACTAATCTCAAACCTCATGTTAAAATTTTATCTGAATCACTGATGCTATTTTCAGGACTCTGTTAAGCCAAAGGGTAACATTGTAAGCGAGACATGTAAAAAGACTGAGGGATATATAAAAGGACCTGTTCTCTACAATGTGTTACCGCTTGAGATAGACCCGACTGGTCACATTGAAGCAAAGGAAGACTCTGAAGGGTTCTTAGAGGACACGGTTGTAGCTGACTCAGCAAGCGGAAACTTCTCTAGCAGTATGTACTATTTTAACATGGTAGTTCGGCGTGAACTTTGTCCGCTAGTTATCATATATCGCGAATATAAGCAGTAGTTTTCGAAGATAATGTTCTTTTGTGATGCAGTATTTTCGATAATAGGTCGCATTTCCATAGTACTCAGCGTAGCCAAAATATGTTATATTTCAGGCAATATGTTATATTTGCATTAATAAGTATTAATTCCTGAAGCTTGCAGTATCTCCAGTAGTATGTAATATTTCTCGCAGAATGTAATATTTGTCATGTTTTTTTGTTTGTGTGTGATAAACTAACATGCTAGTCAGCCATATTTTGTATTCTAACCAGAACGAGGCCGGAAGGCACAGATAGTCGATTAACTCAACTATACGATTTTTGTAAATAGAAGATAATTCTAAGCAGAATACCAAACTATTGGTTTTATAATTTCCGGAAGCTTGCAGTATTTAAGATAATAGGTTATATTTTCTGGCAGCATGTAATTTTGGCGCTGGTAAAAATCGTTTCCGGCAGTTCTTAGTATTTCCGGTGGTACGTTTGTATGTTACAGTTTTGCAATATGCAAANGTGTCCTTGTTAATCTCAGATGATAATGAATTCTCTTTACTGTATTGGTTTATTCTGAAGGAATCGGACGAAAAATATCGCCATTCCCTCACAAGCTGTTACTACCTAGCCGCTGTGCTGGCCGAGGTCCCTACGTCAGTCCGTCAACTTTTCGACCAGACCACAGTCAACTTATTCCCTCTGGTAATTATCATCGGTTGAACAAACAAAATGTGGCCCCAATAACACTATCCGCTGTCGGAGTGCACTTTATAAAACCCATTCATAGAGGGTGATATATTCACCCACTAATCGAGGTTGATATATTCACCCCACTAATCGAGGGTGATATATTCACCCCACTAATCGAGTGATATATTCACCCCACTAATCGAGGGTGATATATTTACCCACTAATCGAGGGCGTTTTATATCTACAATTGTCGCATAGACGTGTCACTTTTCCTTTGATCTACCTTCATAGGATAACCAACTAATTTGAAACAATTTTAATAATACCATATGGTGTGAGTAAAGATCCTCCCTTCTCCCGCGTACAATAAATTTATCCGTCCTCATTGGTCTGTCAATTAAAATGTAACGTGTCCAAGTAATGAAAATCATTAATTAAACCTGTCAACAGGAAATGACACCGCAGGAAATAAATTAAAAATCAAAAAAGAAGAGGACTTACTTACATTATTCAGAAAAATAAAACGTTGCAAATATTAAACAAACAAAATTCACCTTTACAGAGTCCGTAAACGAACCTTTTGTTTTCATTTTGTAACATGTTACACGGAATTAGATCATTTTAAGTCCGTGATTCGATGGACAGACACGTGACGATGGAACTTTGTCCTTCTCTGTGGAGATGTTAATGCTTACATGTGTAGGTTCAATATCAGAATTAACATCATTGTTACATAACGACCTCGATCTTTGACCATTCTCCTTCGGGTGCTGTGATTTGTAAATCCTTACTGCCAACGGGGTCTGGAAAACGGCCGATAACGGGCATTTCCTACTCTTCATCTTTGACCACCGATAACAAAGAAGTTACCAAACATTCCAATATCGACTGTAGTGATACTTTCTGGGTCACATTCAATGCAAGTCATCATTCGACAACCATGTTGTCATATACATCGTGCGCAAAACTGGCCTTGAGTTTTGGACGCAGTCCGACATGTGATGTTTTATAGAAAATGACAACGTTTATCCATACAAATGTCACGTGCTACTTTATGCGACAAGTCAATTACATCATAGGCCTCGCAATATGTCAGTTATCGTACTCGAGGGGCGGGGCCTACAACTCTCGCGCTACGCGCTTGAGAAGTAGCCCCTGTCCCTCTCGTACAATAACTGACATATTGCTCGGTCCCTATGATATAACCGATACCTACATAACCCGTTCAAATTTCCACCATATGAGAGCTGTTGACCGCATTGTAAACGGGCAATTTTAATAATAATCATAGAATAATACTAATTCCAGGTTCGTATATACTGCTTTATCACAACCTAGTCCGTAGGTCGTTTCAAGGCGGTTCACAAATTATTATTCGTGGTTATATGGCCTTTGCATCTAGCCAGTATCTGCCCAACCACGTACTCAATTACAACTGAGTAGTCTTGGACAATCGGAGTGAAGTATCTTGCTCAAAGATACAACACAGTGCCGTGACGTGACTCGAATCCGCAACCCTACGGTCTCGAGCCCGGCGTCCTACTACTAGATTACTGTGCCTCCTATGACGATTTCCAGTTAATTTTGAGCATAATGTCTTCAGACGTACGTAATGACTAAAGTTTACAATAACTTAGAGTCAATTACCTTCAGCTTGATCGTTTAGACAATCAGACGACTGCTACTTGATAAAGAGGCAAGCGCTTGGTAAACGTTGAATGGATAAAAGCTGACAGATAGTGAAGCAAACATTGACAAATACACAAAACACAATTATCACTTCACAATTTTTAATGGCGGAATTGGATTAGTAGAACAAATCATGGGTTGAAAAGGGATAACGCATATGAAAACTAATCAGTCTTTAACAATAAAACAAATGAATTGCACAGAAAATGAACCTTAATCAAATTACATATTTTGTTATATTTTGAACCTTGATTTGTCATTGACCTCTGCCTTAGACCTTACGACTAAGTTAATTAATCGGCATCGGTGATATGAACTATTTATTTTATTAGGATGCATTTACATTAGTAGTGTGTCTTGTGTTGTTGTTTCCACCACCCCGTATCATACTTTGAGAACATGACATTTTGTTGATACGTGTAGTTCTAAGCAATAAATACTAGGGAGGGTGTCCGACAAAGCAATAGATGAAGTCTCCATGTAAATAAATCCACGATTCTTGTATGATAATCATCCAATAACTCGATTGTTAAAGATGACCTTGACATCAGAACCGTTATACGCCTTTCCTGAAACAGTTTATGGCTTGTTAATATAGTATTTTATAAAGTATGTAACCATCTTGTTAAATTGTAAAGCGACCCAATCGTGTTCGGACTGATAATGATAAAATGTGCTTTAGAATGATGTTTTTAATACGATATCTGTTGGCGGTATGTGAAGTGACAAATAAAATGAATGACAGTTTTACTGCTGATCTCAGAAATTGGTAAAATTAGTAATTTCTTCACGACAGGGATTAAGTCTTCGATTGTGTTAAAGATTGCTTTACTTGTAACCTTCACTTTACTGTACTTAATAATCCTAATATGTCGATTTTGATTATCTATTTTTAGACATTAATAATTATTTGATAATTACGAATTTATATTCATTTTTTCATTTTCAATCTGATTAAAGAATAATAACCATTTTCAACCAATCGATGGAATGAGCACTTAATAACATTTGTTTTCATATTTTTACAGCTCAAAGACATCCTTCTTGGAAGACCTCGAAAAGATATTGTAATTAACGATGACATCTTGAAATGCAATAAGGCCAAGGCACTTCTAGAAATGTTAGACATTTGTACAAAAGAGTCTGTCGTCGTCGCAATTCCTGCATCTCAAAAACTGATGGTGAATGCCGTCTGGATAGCCATGCTGTATGGTTGGCATAGTCGTGAAGAACAGCAGTGACTCTCTGATACAGAGTTTTAGCAGAACTTTGTCATTCCACATTGAAGAAAGTGTGTTTGGTGTGTGTTTAAATTTTACAGCTGATTCAAGAAAACTTAACAATTGTTTGATATTGACATTTTATTTAAATTCTAAAATTGGTGAAGTTGTTGACGATGCACTTTTATGAACAACGCAAACTAAATAAATAAGGCTAGTTACATGAACAGGCATTTGTATTGCGGTTGTGCAATTGGGGAGCCGAGCATGTCATTCTAAATTATGTCATTATTTCTTGTCGCTGTTCTCTTAACAGTTTATACCAAATTGTTTCTATCAATACTCTTGTATTCTGAAAGGTGGTATATCGTAGACTGAAGTTAAGTTATCACCGTAACCAAAGTCTTTTAAGGATTCATGTTTCACTTCCAAAGCTGCAATTATGCATCGGTAAGCTTTTTGACCCGCCATATAAATTAATAAGATCATTTTTATTGATCCACTCTGAAAAACAAAACAAAAGAAATCTACAACAATGTTTGCATTAAAATGCAGTGGAGTCGGACCAGGATTCGAGTCCTGCTTTCACGATCTGTAAACTTTTGCACTTATCGAACTAAATAACTGCATCACTAGAAGTTCCCCGGCCCAGTCGCTCTAAAAGTGAATCCAAACGAAATCAAGGCGAGGTAACTGTATATATGAAAATAACAACAACAATGGGACCCTCTAATGGGTTTTTTCAGTAGAACAGGGATCTATAATTACAAAAAAAATAGTGCAATGATCTCAATACCCACCGTCGAAGATGATAAGAAATATTTGATTTCCTTAATGAACCTGTACTAGAGAGGTACGAAAACAATTATTTGTTAATTTGTTTTTATTTGATCATCACAGAGACTTTGGGTGTTTTATGTAGATATATTCAATTGTTCATCTAGTCCATGCCTTCTTATGATATTGTCAAAGGTTTGCCATGTGTAACATAGGAATTGAGGAACGTTTTTATAAAGGTTGTGAATGTACTAGGGAGGTACTCGGACACTCTTTTGTCATTTTTTTATACTTAACCATCACAATTGTTTTGTTTGTAGATGTATATATATATATACATTAAATATGCAGCTATTTGATGTTTTTTCTCGATATTGTCAAAGGGTAACCATGTGTAAACTTAAACTGAAGAACGTTGTTATGACATTTGTATGGCTTGTTATGACAGCTCCTTTTAATAAAGCTTTTCTATACTCTAACGAATCTTGTTTAAAGCGTTTTTCATCTTCAGATTTGATTTTACCGACGGATGTCAAATTTCCTATTTGGAGCGTATTGACAATTTCAAATCGCAAACTGCATTTTGAATGCCAGGCAACAGCCAATTCAACGTTAATTGAACAATTTAAATAAATCTCTTTGCAAAATGAAATTGATTTCGACAACCACTGGAACGAAGAACGTAGCACGAACGATATATATATTCAATAAAATACTACTATGAATTTCTGGTGAGATCTTACCATGAATTACGGATATTATCTGAAAAATATTTATCGAAGCAGAACATTTTTTAAATGTCTCCCTTTAAAAAATCCTGTTAACTTTTGCCTGTAAAAGAAAGTCAGTAGTTAAAAGTGTGATTTTTTTCTGATTCTTTCTTTCAATTCAATAATTCAGTCATGCGACGCTCATTGGCTACATCGAGGACTGGACGTTTTTTGGTACACGAAAGGTGTTGTTCGTTAGTAAATAAGGTGAAGCTCATCAGCAGTTATTCAGGAAATACATACCAGCCAGTTATTCACAAAGCACTTAATCGTAAAGCTAAGGCTAAGTAAATAAGACTTTTTAAAACTAGTCAATTAACAATCAGAAGCACAATATATTAGATGTATTATGATGGCGATCTTTCGCCTGTAGAACCGTTTAAACCACAAATGGTCGACATCTGACGGGTGCCTTTGGCATGGTATTTCAGTGAGATATCACTATAAAGTCAGCATCAAATCCATGCTATCACATAAGGAGGGAAATATACCTACATACCCTGTCTCCGGCGTACACATATGCAAGCATACACAACACGCATGGAGGTAGGTCCTAAAATGACCCCTGCTGTTAATAGGACATTAAACCCTGTACAACCAACCAACCATCCCAGAACTGGCAGACCACCTGTGGCAAGCTATCTATAGGACTTGTGACAGTAGCTGTATACTTTTACGGCTACGCCTGCTTCTGCGTCATGGGGTAAGTGCCCTTTTCCTCAAGACAACGCCGAGGACTCCAATTACGCTGCAAAACAATTCTGAGGCAAAACAGAAATTCATATTTATCAAACATTGCCAGGTGCTAGTAACTTATAAGAAATACCAAATAGTTAAAAACCATTTTATTCTAATCAGTTTATTGAACAAGATAGAGTCCGGATACAAATAAATTAGTAGAGAAAATAATATAATGTTACAGGGAAGCGCTTTGACTTAATTTTACAACACTAGTCTTAACTTTCCAACTTTCGAAATTTCCTAACATGACAGTATGTGGTTACAATGTACACTGATTCTGAGTGGCAGATATTTGTGGATCCAATAACTACATTATAACGTTCGTTCGGTAGGTTTTTTATATCTAGATCAAGCTTAATTCTAGACAACTCAGGATTTGTTTTTCTAAATGTTGGAAAGATCCAGACAATTAACAAACTTTACGGGATATGACAATGTAGGTCTCGAGGGACAACCGAAAATTATTGTTGTAAGGACTAAGAACATGTCAAGAAATGATCACTCATTCTTTTCTTCCAAAAAAAAGAGTCAAATCTGATCATTTCAATACATGAATGTCCTTGATTTTGATATGACTAATAACAATAGGAAGACAAAAGGCTTTAAATATAACAATGGAAGTGAATGACTTTTCGTCAAGATCACAATACGCCGATGATGAAAGCAATGAAAATTACGTTGCATTCGATATCAGCTATGCTATTCATAATACAAGAATGAGACATAAAATAAAAGACAATGTTGATAACAAATATGTTTGGAATGCTTCAATGGGCTTTCCATAACTATATGCAGAATGCTACATTTAAGAAAGTTGCATTTCTATAGGACGTGACTATTCGCAAAATAAATGATAATGTTGATTGTTCTAGTACTGATAAACAAACGGGTATATTAGAAGTAAAGAGTGGTGAAATGTAGCTTTCGCCTGTGTTTGCTTCAGGAGAAGTTTATACAATGTATTTGGTAAAAACAAAAACCAACTATGATATTTTTCTTTCAGCTCTATCACGTGACAAATATTTGTTAATTCTACGTTTACATTATGTTCCCGGCGGCCACGGCAACCATGTTTCAGGGCAACGTCGACAAAACGGGATAGACGTGAGACAACGCGGGGGAACGGATTAGCAAATGTGACAGGGCAGCAACCGTGAAGCAATCGTGACAAAACGCGTACTAAACGCGGCAGAACGTTACAAAATTTGAAAGGACCGTTAGATGCCGGGGAATAAACATGCTTCCCGTCCAACTACGGACCGCCTACAAGTTTTGTTACAGCCTTTTTCGTACTATCACGTTTTGTTGTGTTCATTCCGTTTTACTACGGCCAACTAGGTTTCTCATCCGCACCGTGACTGCCGTGACAAATGTTTTGACAGTTTAAAAATCTGGCCCGGCATCCACGACAATCACGGCCTATCACATTTGCTAAATCGTTCCCCCGCGTTGTCTCACGTCTATCCTGTTTTGTCCACGTTGGCCTGAACTTAATGTAAACCTAGAAATTTGTTTAAAGGTAGAAATGAACAGAGTTAAGTGGATAGTCTGTCACTACTGGATATTAAACGATTCAACAGCAGAGTAATTTGTTTTAAAAGAAACTATATCTGTGTTTATAAATCAACAAAGGGATGATAATGGTTTCTAGGAAAATGAGTTGCTTGACAATTTCCGTTCACAAGGGCCATATACTTTATGCATGACGCTATCGACTGGTGACACACACAGGCGTGCAGTTTTAATGCATGAAGTATAAGCAGACTATCATCAGTATAGCCACTCAAAACAACGAATTAACCTTTAAATAGAACAATAATATATGATTGTATTATTAAAAGATTTAATTACATCTTGCTATAATTAAGGATGGTAAGAAACATCAATATTTTCAAACATATTCTACATTGCATTTGGCATAAAGAAACGAATTCATCAGAATTAATTCTTGGGACTGGCCCCACCTTCCACCCTAATGCACATGATTTCTTGGTCATAACATGGAACCATTTGGGATTTTCACACTGTACATGTAAAAGAATACAAGTGTTGTGATTGATAAATACAAATACAGATATGCTACAAAGATTGGCTAAGGATCAGCCCCCGCCCATCGGAACTTAATCTTTGGATCTTACACGAATATGGGTCAAATCTCGACTTCATAATCAAATAAACAATTTCTTATTTTGAAAATATGAATACAAATGCAATATGTATTATTTGTAAAGTGCGTGACGTCCTTTTTTATTTGTACGAGGCGTGACGTCCTGCATTTGTTCACGAGGTGTAATTATTTTTATGAGTTGTTATGTCCTGTATTATTTGAACGACACGTGATGGCATGTATATTGTTTGTACGACACGTGATGTTCTGTATTATGTGTACGACACGTGATGTCTTGTATTATTTGTACGAGTTGTGATGTCCTCTATATTTTTTACAAGGCATGATGACCTGTATTATTTGTACGAGGCTTGATGTCCTGTATTATTTGTACGAAATGTGATGCCCTGTCTTGTTTGTAGGACGTGTGATGTCCTGTATTATTTGTACGACACATGATGTGTTGTATTATTTGTACGACATGTGATGTCCTGTATTGTTTGTGGGACATGTGATGTCCTGTATTATTTGTAGGACGTGTGATGTCATGTATTATTTGAAGACACGTGATGTGTTGTATCATTTGTACGACATGTGATGCCATGTATTGTTTGTAGGACATGTGATGTCATGTATTATTTGTACGACACGTGATGTCTTGTATTATTTGTACGACATGTGATGTCCTGTATTGTTTGTGGGACATGTGATGTCCTGTATTGTTTGTAGGACATGTGATGTCATGTATTATCTGTACGACACGTGATGTCCTGTATTATTTGTACGACGTGTGATGTCGTGTATTATTTGTACGACACGTGATGTCGTGTATTGTTATTACGACAAGTGATATCCTGTATTATTTGTATGACATGTGCTGCCCTGTATTATTTGTACAGGGCGCGATGTCCAGTATTATTTGTACGACACGTGGTGTCCTCTATTATTTATACGAGGCGTGATTTCCTGTAATATTTGTACGACACGCGATGTCCTGTGTTATTTTAACGACGCGTGATGTCCTCAATAATTTATACAAAGCATTATGTCCTCTATAATTTGTACGAGGCATGATGTCCTGTATGTTCTGTACAAATGATGTCCTGTATGTTCTGTACAAATGATGTCCTGTATTCTTTGCACGTCACGTGATAACCTGTAGTATTTGTACGAGGCGTGATGTCGTGTATTATTTATACGACATGTGATTTGTTGTATTATTTGTATGAGGCGTGATGTCCTGTATTATTTGAACGAAGCGTAATGTCCTGTATACTGTATATTTTGTATTACATGCGATGTACTGTTTTATTTGTTCGAGGCGGGATGTCCTGTATCATTAGTACGACACGTGACATCCATTTATCACTTGTACGGGGCGTGATGTCCTGTATTATTTGTACGACACGTGATGTCCCGTATTATTTGTACGAGGCGTGATGTCCTATATTAATTGTATGAGGCATGATGCCTTTTTTATTTGTACGAGGCGTGATGTCCTGTATTATTTGTACGAGGCGTGATGTCCCGTATTATTTGTACGAGGCGTGATGTCCAATATTGTTTGTACGAGGCATGATGTCCTGTATTATTTCCAAACCCTTGCATCCTGAATTGTTCTTACAGCACATGATGTCCTGTATTATTTGTACGAGGCGTGATGTCCTGTTTATTTTGTATTACACGCGATGTCGTGTTTTATTTGTTCGGAGCGTGATGTTCTGTAATATTTGTACGACACGTGATGTCCTGTATCATTTGTAGGAGGTGTGACATCCTGTATTATTTGTACGATGCGAAATGTCCTGTATCATTTTAAAGACACGTGATGTCCTGTATTATTTATACGAGGCGTGATGTTC